AGCTGGACTCAAGCAGGACATTATCATGGGATCCAGGCCCTCAGCTGGATTCCTGGTTTATAGTGTGTGGACAGATTTCCTGCACTCTCTTGTATATGATTCTTGGGTGACTATTATAGATAATCTTGTAAAGTATATGTCCTGTATTATATTGTTCTTTTGGGCAAAATAAGCCCCAAACCAACACAGAAGGGAAAGAGGCTGCTTGCCATCACTCCTCCCTTTTGCTCTTGCTGCTTTTGCTGTTTTCCACCACCATGAATGGTTGGCCTCTGCCATGTGCCACTCCGCCTTGGAGCAAGCCAAGTATGGACTGAAACCTCCACAAACTGTGAGCTAAATAAACCTTTCCTTCCTTAATTTTGGGCATCAGATATTTTGTCTCAGCAATGAGAGAAAAGTAATCAAGATAGAATTTGGTACCAGGAGTGGGGCTGTTGCTGTGACTACACCTGGCCATATGGTTCAAGAGCCTTTGGAAATGGCTTGAGGGAAGTGTTTGGAAAGGTTTGGAGAGGTCACCTGAAAGAGTAGAGCTCAAATGCCTTCAGCAGTTCTGTATGGGAGATTCTGGTCAGAGCTCAGCGGACCAGAGGCAGATAAAAATCCTGCCAGTAAAGACCAGGCTCAGAAGGTTTCTGCTGGAAGGATTGCATTGTTGTTAGACTCCAGACGATACATGTTATGGCTTGGCAGAAAGTTTGTCTGCATTTTGCTTGTGTCCAGAAACTTTGTCTAAGACTGAGATTAAGGGCGGTGGACTAATTAATCTGGCAGAAGAAATTTCAAAGCAGTCGAATGTTGAGGCGGTGGCATGGCTGTTGGGGGCTTTTAGCCAGATTTATATTGAGAATCAAGAGCAAAGAGCCCAGCAGGATGATTTAAAATGTGAGTTTGGCCAGAAAGGAAGCTCCAGTAAAGCTGTGGATTGAAAAGATAGAGCTGAGATCTCCACTGCTGAGAAGGAATGCGAGAATAGAAAAGATGGCCTGAGCATATCAAAAGAAGCAGCAAGTCTCCACCCTTTGCAGCCTCAAAACTTCAAAGGTGAAAGACCTTGCCTTGAGTAGAAAGCTGCAGAGTGCCATGTTCCAGAGTGGTGGCAGCATAGAGAATTTGCTCCTCAGAATTGGATTCAGAGCACCCAGTGATCCAGACACTTGACCCCTATGGCCCAAGAGAGGGCAAAACCTGGCTACTGCTCCAGGTGGCAGCAGACCTTGGCGTGATACACATGGCACTGGTTTTAGGTGCATGCCAAATGTAAGAGTTCTGAGGTTAAGCAGGCTTCCCCTTAGATTTCAGAAGGCCTGGGAGGCCAGGCAGTGTGCCCCTGAGAGGGCAGTGGGTGAAGCTGTGTGAGCGAAAGGTGCACTGGAGACCCCAGAAGTTTGGAAAAGCTAGGACCGTGGATTGTCTGAGGAAAGCTGCGAGGAAACAAAGTGGGTCCAAGAGAGAAGCCATGGGAGCTGTAACCACCAGAAGGGCCATAGGGGTGGGGTCACACCAGCCCTTTGGAGCTCACAATGTGCCACAGATTGCTTCAGATGCTGCATGTGGAACTACAGGACATGTTAGCCCTGCTGGATGTTGGACTTGCTTTGGTCCCAATGCTCTGTATCCCTGTTTGCACCTTTTGGAATGATAGTATTTATTTTGTGCCATTGGGTGTTGGAAGTTTAACTTTTCATTTGTACTGGGGCTCTCAGATAAGCGTTTGCCTTACATCTGGGGGGAGACTTGGGACTTGGACGTTTCAGCAGTGCTGAAACTGTTAGGACTTTGGCAATGCTTAGAGATGGACTACAGTGTCTTTTGCATAAAGGGATGGGCATGAGTCTTTGGGGGAATCAGGGGTGGATGTTATGTTTTGTGTCAGGGTGTCACCCTCAAAGCCACATGCAGTCACAGGGCAGGCTTTTAGAGTTTATGATTGATTCATGGTCCAATGTTGGAATTTTGGGTGTGAGTGCCACACCTGCCCTGGGGCAGGTAGTTTCCATACCAATGTAAGGGAGGGAGGCTGCTTGCTGCCACTCCTCCCTTTTGCTTTTGCTGCTTTTGCTGCTTTCCACCACCATGAATGGTTGCCCTCTGTCATGTGCCACTCTGCCTTGGAGCCAGGTCAGTATGGACTAAAACCTCCACAAGCCATGAGCTGAATACACTTTCCTTCCTTCACTTTGGGTGTCGGGTATTTTGTCTCAGCAACGAGAGAAAAGTAACCAAAATACAGCTCTTCCAATATTTTTTGCTCATATCCATTTTTACAAACTTAGAATCAATTGTACTTTTTAAACAAAAAGGGGCTGTGGATATAGCTCAGTGGTAGTCCTCACCTAGCATGTCCAAGGTCCTCAGTTCAATCCCCAGCACCACACACACACACACACACACGCACGCACACAATTGTAATTTTTTGTTGTTTTTTCAAAATAGGGTCTTACTATGTAGTATGGACTGGCCTTGAACTCTTGGCAGTCCTCCTGTCTCAGCCTCCCAGGTGCTGAGGTTATTATAGGTGTATGCCACCACATCTTTTTTTTTTTTTTTTTTTTTTGGTCTTTTTGGGACAGGGTCTCACTATGCAGTTCAGGCTGGCCTTGAGCTCACTTTGTAGCCCAGGCTGGTCTCGAACCTGTAACAGTCCTCCTGCCTCAACCTCCCGAGTGCTGGGATTATAGGCATGTGCCACCATGCCTGGCTACATCCAGCTTTTCAATTCTAAAAGAATTTTAGATTTAGAAAAAAACTGCAAAGGTAGTGAGCCCGTATATACACTCCACCCAGCTATGGCAGTGTTAACATTTTAACTATTTATCTGGTGAAACCAACATCAAAACGCTAAATTGAACTTCCCCCGTTTTTCCATTACCATTTCTTTCTGTTCTAGGATGCAGTCCAAGCTTCCACATTCCCTTCAGTCACTGTGTCTCCTCAGCCCCTGCTAGGCTGTTTTTGAGTCTTTGTTTTTATTACCTTGATTCTTGAATGTCTCCGGTCTGAGCTGCTCTGACGTCTGTCTCCATGGCCTAATGGGGCTGCATGGGACGTGGGTTTTGGTTGGACCACAGGGGGCGCCCTCACCACATCCTCAGGACAACACCCACAGGCCACCATGGTGAAGGCAGTGTCTTGCAGGGCTCTCCAAAGTAAGTTTACAAGTACAGGATGGCCTTTTTTTTTTTTTGGTGGTACTGGGAATTGAACTCATGACCTACTGCTTGCAAGGCAGGCGCTGTGCCACTGAGCTATATCCCTGACCCAGTAAGTTTACAAGTTTTCTTTTCCTTACTCTTCGGGAAAGAGTCAATCTAGCTGATCCTTACACGGTGGCGATGTGTGAGGGGGCAGGAATTCGGCTTCTCTGTCTGAGTGCCCAGCATGATGGACACACCTGTAATCCCAGTGACTCTGGAGGCTGAGGCAGGATACAAAATGTGAGCCCAACATGGGCAACTTAGTGGAACCTGTCTCAAAATAAAAAATAGTAACTGGGCATGGTGGTGCTTATAATCCCAGCACTTAGGAGGCTGACGTAAGAGGAGTGCTAGGAGTTCAACACCAGCTTGGGCTACATAGTGAGCCCAGGGCTAACCTGAATTACATAGCAAGACCCTGTCTCAAAAAAACAGAAAGAAAAGGTCTGGAGATGTAGGTCAGTGTGAAGGGCCTGGGTTTAACTGAGAGAAAGAGAGGCAGAGACACAGACACCAACTCCAGATGGGGTATTAGGAATGTGGCAGTTTGGGTTTTGAGACAGGATCTCATTATGTAGCCCAGGCTGGCCTTACTATGGAAACCCTCCTGCCTCAGCCTCCTGAGTGCTGGGATTACTGGCATGCGCTACCAAACTTGGCCTGGTTAGGTTTTATAGATCTTAAATAGCCGGGCATCACTCCACCCAGCCCACCCAGGGCCCGCTAGGGTGCTGCGAGCTGTAAGAGCCTGGCTTCCCCCTCCTACAGGGACCAACACCGGCAGCGACGCCCACCTGACACAGGCAGCCTCAGGCTGCACTGCCGCTCACGGCAGCGCCAGGGCGGGGCAGGCTGTGCAAGGGAGTGCGCGGCTCTGCCTCCACACCCAGAGGGGTCACCAGGTTGGGTGAAGAGGGCCTGACTCTTCCTAGGTGGCCCAGTGGGCAATCACTAAGCTACTGGCCTTTCCCCCACCCTGTAGCTCAAATATATTTTACAAACAGCCCAGTGCCGGCTTCCTCACCCCCATTCTCCCTTAGCAGCTCAAGGTGCAAGCCCCGTGTGGTGCTGCACGCCTGTAATCCCAGCACTTGAGAGGCTGAGGCAGGAAGATCACAAGTTCAAGCCCAGCCTGGGCAGCTAAGTAATTTATCAAGACACTGTTTCAAAAAATTTTTTTTTCAAGGGCTGGGGATGTAACTCAGTGAGAAGCTCCCTGGATTCAATTCCCAGTAACGAAAAGTAGTTTTTCCACATAATTTCTAAGGATTTCCTTTCTTTCCAAGGTTGGGGCTGCTACGCAGCTGCTCTGCTCACAGCCTGGGGCAGGGGCCTGGCCCTCCCGTCATTCCCTGTCCTGTCTTGGGGCAGCAGGGCCGCTGGCACGGGAGCCACCTGAGGTCGCCAGGCCTGCAATGGGGTGGGTGAAGTCCAGGTACGAAGGCGGCCAGAAAACCCAGTTACTTTTCCTCTCTGTTCTCTCCGCTGGGGCAGTGTGTGTGCAGGGGCGTACGTGGGGCCCCTGCTGAGGCCCTCCTGGTGGGAAGGACAGGCGGGGATGGAGGCGAGCTGGGACTGGATGTGAGGAGGGTGTGGGCGCACGAAGGGCAGAGCGCCCGGGCGGGTGGAGACGTGTGTTGGGCCACCACAGGGTCCGGCCCAGGTCCAGCCTGATCCTGGCTCCGTGCCGAGCGAGCTGGCCTGAGATGGATGGTCCCTAGGGTGCACAGAGCTCACCCGCGCCTGGATTCTGTAGGTTTTCAGGGCCCTGGAGAACAACACCAAGACTCACCAGAGGCGTAACTCACCGCTACCTGGGTGTGCGAACTGGATATATTGAACATCAACCAAAAAATACTTTCAAGATATCAATAAAAGTCAAAAAATATAAATAGTAAGAAACATCTCAAAGCAACAGAATACCAGGAGTGGGCTCTCAGCTGAAGGAACACAAGTAACGAAAAGTGAAACGGGGCTTGGGAATTCGGGTTCCACCAATCCTCGGGAAAACGTGGCCCCTGGTGACCACTGTGGCTGCTTCTCACAGGCTCCGTGGGGGCAGCCTCCTGCTGTAAAGAACCAAAGCTAAACTCGACTGTCCTTACTCAGCTTGGTATTTGAAATAGGTCATTAAGTTGTAGTCCTCTTCCAGGTCCAGAACTGTCTCGATGATACTCTGATCGTCGAAAGCCTGCTTGAGGCCGGGGTCGGTATCCGGGGCCTTCAGCGGGCTCTCGTCCAGAAGCAGGGCCCACGCTTCCTCCTGGAAGGGTGAATCTTGGCAGTGACCACACACACGGTTCAATTCGTTTTCAAATTCTAGTTTTCCAGCCAGTTCTTCAATAGTTCGGATGCTTGTATGGTCTTAAAAATAATAACATGGGGCTTTGCAGTTACAGTGAGTGGTTTCTGAAAGCATTTCAGACACAAGTTAAAGATCATGAAGGGAAGCCGGGCGTGGTGGTGCACGCCTGTAATCCCAGCACTCGGGAGGCTGAGGCAGGAGGATCGCTGGGAGTTGAGACCAGCCTGGGCTACAAAGTGAGCTCAAGGCCAGTCCGGCCTACACAGAGACCCCATTTCAAAAATCAAATAAACACCATGAATGGGCAGTCACTCTTTGCAGATTGTGCAGAGCTGGGCAGTCTTATCCCAGGACAGACAGGCTTGGTGCCCTCCTTTCTGACCCTGCCACTACCCAGGTCCAACCACCTGCCTGTGCCCAAGGAAGCTGTGAGTGGGAAGGTACTGAAATGCAGGGCCTGTCCTTCCTGGGGAACTGCCTCACCTGCAGGAACGACACATGAAAAACAGGGTTCTTAGGGTCATCAAAACACTGCCTGGGATGGTGAGGGCTGAGGAGAGAGCGGACAAAGGGCAAAGGCAGGGGTGACCGCAGCCCTCCTGAGGCCACTGGTTTTACGGCCTAAGGTGAGTTGCTCCCCTCACCAGCCTTTTTCACCCTTTGTAACATAGAGACCCCTCAGAGCCACGAGTTTCAGGCAGCGCCCATCGCTCTGCATCCCTAGACTAGGAACTGGGCATGCGCAGGGCTCACGTAACACACGGCGCAGAGCGCAGTTAGAATGGCGGTGCGCACACTTCCTGGTTAAGCGTGGGGTTGTGGGTGGGAGAGCTCTGAGATGCTTAGCCACTGTGCCCTCCTGTTACCACCTGTCTCCTCCCCTTTGCCTGTGTCCTGCCTCCTTCCGATCCAACTTCCTTGCCTTCTGGGACTCACCAGAACCAGACATTCAGGAAGTGGCCCGATTACTGTGTGACTTCACTAGGTCACCAGTTCTATAAAGGCATGGACAGGGTTTGATTAATTCACTGCTCCATGAACAGAATCAGCTGTGAGCAAAATAAATAGATGATAAATGAGTGCTTTTCGTTTTTCATCTAAGTCTTACAGTGACTCTGGGCCTGCATGAAGCCCCTGTCTGAGCAGAGCGCGGCGGGGCCTCCTCACTCACCGATCATGTCAAGTAGGTCCTTCGTGACTTCTTGGCTAGAACTGCTGAGAAGCACGTTTGAGTCAACTTTCACATCTCCCTCTGGGTCTTTCCTGCAGCCAAGGAGGGGAGGGGGAAAGGTGGGGAATTAGATCCTTTCAAGAAAAATATTGGAGGACTCAGTATTAGATAATCTAAAAGATAAAAATTAACTGATGATTTTAAATACTCATTTATTTTGTGATTAGAGGATAATCAGAAATTGCTAACATCAGTTAAACAGTTTTTTTTTTCTTTTTGTCGTTTTGAGACAGGGCCTCGTTATGCAGTTCAGGCTGACCTCGAGCTCACTTTGTAGCCCAGGCTGGCCTCGAAGTTGCAATGATTCTCCCGCCTCAGCCTAGAGAGTGCTGGGATTACAGGCGTGCGCCACCACGCCCGGGGAAACTAACAGATCATCACACCTCACACTACAGGCAGCGGTTCTCCTTATGAATACCAATATACATACTTCGGTTGAGCCAGTTAAATCGCTCCTTTTACTCCCTGTCTTCGGGGCAGGATGATGGGGGACTGAAATTACATCCAACATGGTGGTCCTTGTGCTCAGTCCCGGTGCCTGGACCCAGGCAGTGTGAAACTGGCTGAGGGGAGAGGGCGGGGAGACAACCTAGAGATGCGGACAGGCTTCCAGGCAGGGGAGCGGGCAGAGGAGCAGTCAGGAGGTCGGGGCCGGGGGTCCGAGGGCAAAGGAGGGGATCACAGGCTGCAGCGCAGACACAGCGGCTGAGACGGAACTAAGACCTTTGTTTCTCCAGCATAAAAAGGCGGCTACTCTAAGGCAGC